CTGCATCCATCCCGCCTACTCAGAAAGGAGTAGAGAAGCGCTATTTTGTCCCCCAGATCAGACATGAACATTTATACTCCCATCTGGCTCCAGGCTCGCTCATAGTCCAGGCGGCAGGGCAAAAGGAGAGAGGCTGGGTCAGCCAGGACCTACCCCCAAAAGCAGGGAGCCGAAAAAACTGGACCTGCTGGGTAGGAAGGCATATGCCATTGGAGGTCTTCAGCTGCACATTGCCAACCAACAGGCGATGTTAAGCAGGTATGCATGTAATACCTGGATGGCAGTGGATAAATTTTAAAGAACGCCTGCCACAAGACTACCACCAGGAGTTTGCAGTGCTGACGGAGGAGGGTAGAATTATCTCCTCCACAGTGTTGCAGGCCATGCTGGACACAGCAGACTCAGCGGCATGTATGATGGCCACAGGGGTTGTGATGCTCCATGGGGTCTGGCTGCAAGTTTTTGGCAGGACTTGCCATTTGAGGGAAAGGGCCTCTTTTCCAAACAGATGGATGCCAGCCTGCTTAGTCTAAAGGACTCCAGGCCTACGTGTAGGTCCCTGGGAATCCACACGCTGGCCACACAGAGGCAGTTGTTCAACGCGAAACCACAGGGCAGGCACCCCTATCAGGGCTATAGACCTTATCAAATGAGGCACAGGCCTCAAAATGCCGGCAACAGTAATTCCAATGGACGCAACAGGAGGCATAGGTCTCGTCTGGACTCAGAAAGGGGAGGAGGGCCACCCTCTCCTCAGCAGCCCAAGTCCTCGTTTTGAAGGTACACCCAAGGACAGAGTACTAGTTCCCATGTTAGACTCCCTCCCCCTCTCCCCCCTTGGGGATAGGATCTCCCACTTTTACCAGTCTTGGGCCCAGATTACAATCGACAGCTGGGTCCTTGGCCTAGTGGCAATTAGTCTCAGACCAGAGGCCCTTTACCAATCATATTTTTCCCTTCCACCATGCCTGATCACATATCACAATGGACTGCTGAGTCCTAGGCGCAGTGAGAAGTGGTTATTTCATCTCGTTCTGCTCTCTCTCTTCCCCTTCTCCCCCTATCCTTCTACCCCATCCCTTTTCAGGGACCCCTCTCACAAGCATCTTTTGAATCGAGGTGGTGTCGTTCTTCCAGCAAGGGATGGCGAAAAGGGTTCCTCAAGAATTTGAGGGAAGGGGATTCTACTCCCGGTACTTCCTCATCCACAAAGCAAAGGGAGGCCTCAGACCTATTTTGGACCTAAGGGATCTAAATGCCCTTATACCAAAAGCAAAGTTCAAGATGGTCACATTGGCAACTATTATTCCCTCCCTGGAAATGGGGGAGTGGTACGCTGCCCTCAACTTGAAAGACTTGTATTTTCATATTTCTATAAGGCCCGCCCTCAGGATGTTTCTCAGGATTACTGTGGGGCAGGAACACTTCCAGGTTTCAGTCCTCCCTTTGGGTATGTCTACACTACCACACTAGTTCGAACTAGGGTGGTAATGTAGGCAACCGGAGTTGGCAAATGAAGCCCGTGATTTGTATTTCCCGGGCTTCATTTGCATCTCGCCGGGCGCCGCCATTTTTAAATGTCCGCTAGTGCAGACTCCGTGCCGCGTGTAGCCGCGCGGCACGGAGTCCGCACTAGCGGACATTTAAAAATGGCGGCGCCCGGCGAGATGCAAATGAAGCCCCGGAAATTCAAATCACGGGCTTCATTTGCAACTCCGGTTGGCTACATTACCACCCTAGTTCGAACTAGGGTGGTAGTGTAGACATACCCAAAACGATAAAACTCCCCAGCTACATCTACGCTGCAGGCTTTTTGTGCAAGAACAACTGTTCTTGTGCAAAAACTTGCAGAGAGTCTACACTGCATGCGCATTCTTGAGCAAGAGCTCTTTCACAAGAAGGCACTGAAGACCGGCAACATGAATTTCTTATGCAAGAAAGCTCTATGGCTAAAATGGCCATGAGAGCTTTCTTGCTCAAGAAAGCGTCCACACTGCCATGGGCGCACTTGCACAAGAGCCCATGGCAGTGTGGACGCGCTCTTGTGGAAAACCTTTTGCACAAGAACTCTTGTGCAAAACAGTTCTTGCGCAAGAAGCCTAAAGTATAGACGTAGCCCCCCTATATTGTAGCGATCCAGCCATTTTCTGAGCAGACAACTCTATGTATATTCCTCCCTTTCTGTATGTGCCCTGTGGTAGTGGCAGCCATGTGATTAAAAAAATAGTTGGGTACATCTTTGACTGCTTCATCTTCACTCGCTACTAACCATTTTCCTTGCGCCTTATTCTAACACTCCCATTTCTGGACTGCTTCATAAAGTGGCACCCCAAAAAAAAATGTTTCAGAGAAATGTTTCTTCTTAACTTCCAAGTGTGGTATTCCTTTCTTCATGCCAAATTCAATTCCCCTGCGGTCCAGGAAAGTGTTCAGTTTGAGCTAATTGCAGGTTTAAGGTGGCTCATAAAGAAACATTGCAGATTAGGCCTTTCTCCTTTTCCATCCTGTACCAGTGATCAGAGCTTTAGGGTTTGGTCCTTGGAGGTCTTGCGATACTGGACATGTATATCCTGGTCCTACTTGAGACATCTGTGTGCTACCTTAATACAACAGTGAATCATATTACAATGCATCTGTTTCTCAGTAACTTGTGACATTCCATTTGCCATTTGATCTGTTATAAAACTGGTAATATCCTTGTCTGATGGATAAAGCACCAGTTCCTAAGTTTTGAAGTTTTCTGAAGTGTACTGGACCTTACATCTGCCACTGGTGCGGAACTGAATATTCCCATGAAGAAACTCACAATAGCATACATTTGCAAGTGAAGGAAACATTTCTCTGGGAGGCTGATTTAAAAGAACAAATGACCTATCCCCTCAATTCTTTGAATCTATTACTCATGTTAGAACATGTTGCTCAGAATTTAGTTCAGGGATGAGAGATTAGGTGAGCTGGTCAGAGGTGTCTGATTAATGCAATTTATCACATGGATCTAACCACCAGTTAAGGGGCTGCGTGCATTCTCTGTGTGCATACATGTATATATGTAAAAGGTGTGTATAGTTAGCCTTCCTTGAGGAGACTGGTATATTTTGAACACGAGAAAATGACATTTGTGTCCAGTCTGTCCTCCTAACATGGAAGAGAGTCAGAAAAATGATTTATCTTAACCAGCCTGTTTATTAACAACAGTGGTCATTGGAGAGATAATCCAAGATCTTTAACATCCTAATGAATGCCACTCTGAAAATGCTGTGCCATAGAATGTTGGCTATTAATGTGGGATTTTTCCAATAAATCTTTATTTGAGTACAAGAGGTGAGATTCAAATGAAGTGCAAAATCGGCATTTCCCATCACTTGTCTCTTTTATAACTTTATATAGAGAACAGCTAAACTGGCATATAAGAACAGATTTGTTGTAGTACTAGAATGCCCTTTAGACAAAGTCACATCAGCCATCTTGTCAGATGTAGGGAGTATTCCTGTAGTGCAGTGTTCCCATGGGAAGTGATATGTTCCCTTTTGCATGTTAGACCGGCTTTGTACTCTGGTGCAAGACTGGTGTAAGCATCGAGACAGAACGGTCCCTTCCATCTCTGGAGTCCCTGCATTCCAGATAGGCCCTTGCTCAAGGGGCGTAAGGGAAGTTCTTGCATTACCTCCCACATATACACAGCTCCTGTCCACCTGCATAAGGTGAATGGATTGTCAGAGTATGGTCCTAAATTAAAATGTCGCTATGGGGCTGAGACCTACATCAGCCCAGTATATGAAATGTGGTATGTATCAGTTCCAGGATGCACCCTCATTGCTGGTCTGGTTCCTCCACCTGGTAACTCTGGGTATTAGCTCTTGAGAGTCCAGTCTGCAGCTCTTCTTGCTCTAGAACCATCTAGCATCATCTTCCTGGCTCAGCCCTCTGGGGTACAGTCCACCAGCAGTCTTCCCAATCACTACCTTCTTAACTGGTAGGGAAACATGGGTCCACCCTGTTTTCCATGTACTAGTCCAGGGACTCTCGGCTAATTAGTTTTGAGCTTTCTCTCTCTGTTCTCATTGCTCCTTCCCTGGACTGTTTCCTACCACTGTGGATACCCTTCTCTCGCTCTCTCTCTCTGGGAATACCAGCTCCAAACCTCCTCCCTTTTCCGAGCGAGTGACTGCCCTTTTCTCTAGCCTCCCTGTCTGTTGATAGCTATTTAGTTGTATAGGTTCTACCTTTTCCTGCACAGGTGGCCTTGCTCACAATCCCTGCTCCCTGACTTATCCAGGTGCACCTTGTGGCTTTAATTGACATGCCTGGTCACCTTAAGCCCTTCCAAATCTGTGTGGGTTGGACATGCTATCACAGTATCCTTTCTTGCATCAAGCTGCGTTTAACAGGAAACCCTCTCAACTGTGCAACATAATTGTGACAGAGCGGTAGCTCATTCTGTGAGGCCAGGGGCAAAGCCAAATGACTTGGAAAAAAGAGCTTGGCATAAGCTGTGAACATACCTGTGAATAAAGGGCCACTGTAAAACTTTTTTTTTTTTTTCAATTTGAGGCTGGAGCGCCAGGCAGGCTGCAGCCTGAACACGGGCCAGGCGGGGGCAGCAGTTCCCCGCTGGGTCCTGGAATGTCAGGGCCCCAGAGCACAGTGAGGAGCTGCTGCCACCGCCCCCTGGCTTGGCCCTAGTCCTCCTCCGGCATCCGGAAGTGGCCAAGAGACTGGGGCTGCAACCAGGGAGAGGTGTGGGAGAGCTGTGGGGCAGAAGCTGAGAGGCTGTGGGGAGAGAGGTCAGGGCTGGTGACCAGTGTGGGGGCCGAGAGGCCGGAGCTGGCTGTGGCCATGGAAGGGGGCTGGGGGCAGCCAAA